GCCACCTAGTGAAGTGTCATAATCGAGTCTAGGGGTCAGGTGTAACTTTCCAGTTTTGCCCATCTATCTCCAAGGTCCAGGGCAAGACTGAAAATCTGGTCTGGTTCAAGGATTCAAGTAATCCCATACTGCATGTGCCTCGGGTCTTACCCTGGTGGCTGAAACAGGCCATCCCAACACTTGGTGGCACACCAGCATCAGCCTTGGTAGGATAAATCTCCCCAGACTTATCCAATGGCTATGAACACTTACAACTAACACGAATCTCTATAAATGTCCAGTTTTAGGGTTTTACACAGAATTAAACCAAACAACATGAATCAAACATGTACTTTATTTATTTCCACTAAATAACAAAAGTACATCAAATCGGATTGAAGCTAAGGGCATACATAAACTATCTAACAACAGTAACCGAGAATCAATGGTTCTGATCAAAGTAAATCCAACGGCCCAAAGTCGCACTGACCGTACGTCTCCTGAGACCGAGACGTGACTGGCCGCACGTCTCTTGAAACTGAAAAGAGCGCCAGCGCACGTCTCCTCGCATTAAAGGCGGCAGTGGCGCGTTTTTTCAAATTTGAAAAGACGCCCGCTGTCACGTCTCCCAGCGGCATGCTTTTTGAATTTTGAAATAAGCGTGCGCTGTCACGTCTGTCAGCATTTATAGACAGATTGGTGCATTTCCCATCTTTTTGGCGCTCGAGAAACCCGAAAAAATCCTAACGAACGTGCACTTCGCGCTATCAGTCAAAACCAGTTCGAAGTACGGGACAAATCCACTCGCCACCTCGCGAACTCCCCACACCAGGGCAAGTCCCTTAGCGCGAGGAGTGGGGGGCAATTGATGAAGGAAGATTTGGCCCGACCTTGTAACCACTCAACACGTGGCAAAGGCAATAGCTCGGCACAACAGCACGCCTAAGGCGCGAGCTCCAAAAGGATGAACCAGCGGTCCAAACTCCCTACAAGGAGCCCGAACTCCCCGTAAGGAGCCCGAGCTCTCCCTTAGGCCCCGAGCCTTACGAACACAAAGGGCAACAACCCGAACTGGCCTGCCCCATGGCAGTTCGGGTCACACCTCTCTCCAAACTCAAGACTTCACCTCGCACGCCACTCCAGCACTTCGCCTCCAGGATGCCGAACTGAACAACCGTACCATGCCTGACACCGAAGGAGTCCGTATCCAGGGGCAGCGCACTTGACTGACTTGGGATCTGACGCTTGACAGCCGCACTTCAACGGCCACCTTCAACGGCCACCTGCCACTGCCACCTGCCACCGCCATCTCCTGTTACAGGGACGGCTCCGACAAAGAGAGCAGTGGCGATTCTGCCCTAGCAGAGGTGATGACACCCGAACTGGCAGAAGCATAGACATAATCATACCCGATCTGACAGAAGCTTAGGAGTGAGTGCGTGAAGTGATTATAAAAGGCTCTCTACCCCCCAAGAACAAGGTATGTGAACTTTGCGCCATCTGGTTTTATCTTGCCTTTGAGAGAATACTAACTTGAGATTCAGAGCAATCTCACTGGGTTCCTCCCCGGAGATTTCTCACCTTCTTCTCTGTTTCAGCCACCTATTGCTCCAGTCAGAAGCAAGATCATTGACAGTTAGGACCGGCCGGATTGCGCACCATCAGATAGTATTACGGGCTTCTCGATCTAGAATTTCTACATGGGAGCGTGCAATAGGAGTTTATTCATTTTTGCTTTCTCATGTGAATTCTCACCACTTCTTTTGTTTATTAAACGATGTGATGGCGTTGTCACTTGTCAACCAGCAACGGTCATCGAAGGGAAGAAGATTAAAGTCATGGATCTTTTAGTTTCGTGGATGGACCGTCATCTTCTCCTATTATTTTCTTTTCTCTTGTCAACATCGTTAGTTGAGAGTTTTTACTTATTTTTAAGTAAAAGGAAGTTTATTTTTCATGGTATAAATGAAAAAAAAAAGAAGAGAAATATAAAAGAACACATCCGGTTATGATGCAACCCCCTGAAAACTAAATAATTGGTTTCTGGAATGGCACAGTTCATAAAAATAAGTCAAGAGTACTCTTTCATGTTCATTTTAATGATTTTCGAACTATATGGTTATTTAATTTAAATTTTTAGTTTCAACCTTCAAATGAACAAACTTGTTCGCTGTTTGAGAACGAGGATCAATGGAGTTGAAGGGCCTTCCCTTGTTAATATTTTGCTACAGTGTTCTTTGTTTCCTGTCAAACATCTCGATAGCAGTCGACACCATGGCTCTAAACCAAACTATTACAGGTGATCAAACCCTTGTTTCCGCAGGCCAAACCTTTGAACTTGGATTCTTCACTCCCGGCAATTCCAGGAACTGTTACTTGGGGATATGGTACAAGAACATCCCTCTTCCTACAATAGTTTGGGTTGCAAACAGAGACAACCCACTTACAGATTCCTCCGGAGCTCTAAAGATCGGAGATAATGGAAATCTTGTACTCCTCAACAAGACAGGGAGCATTGTATGGTCCTCGATTTCGTCCAGAGCAGCCAAGATCCCAATTGCACAGCTCTTAGACTCTGGAAATCTTGTTCTAAGAGATGAGAGTGGTGATGATTCAGAAAGCTATCTATGGCAGAGCTTTGATTATCCGTCCGATACATTGATGCCAGGAATGAAGTTTGGATTGAACTTTAAAACCGGCCATAGCTGGTACTTAACATCCTGGAAGGCTGTAGAGGACCCTTCCACGGGAGATTTCACTTACAAACTAGATATTCGTGGTCTTCCTCAGCTACTCGTACGCAAGGGTGGAGAGTCAGGAGATGTTCAATATCGAAGTGGGCCATGGGATGGGGTTCGATTTGGTGGTGGCTTTATGAGGAAAAACTCGGTTTTCAATCCCATCTTCGTCTTTGATGCGGAGGAAGTGTATTATGCGTTCGAGAACAATGACAAATCAGCTATAACGAGGTTTGTGGTGAATCAGTCTGGGTCGCTTCAGTATCTTACATGGAACGATAGGCGGCAAGAATGGGTTGATATAATAATGTTGCAGAAGGACAACTGTGACAATTATGGGCTGTGTGGTGGTTTTGGTATCTGCAACATCAATGATTCACCAGTCTGCGAGTGCCTGAAGGGGTTCACACCCAAAGTACCACAAGATTATAATGCTCTGGATTGGTCCGATGGGTGTGTTCCAAAATCACCATCATCAGATTGCAAAATGGGAGAGGGATTCTACAAGTTTCAAGGATTGAAATTGCCAGATGCATCGCAAATTTTGGGGAACATGAGTATGAGCTCTGAGGACTGCGAGATGGTATGCTTGAATAACTGCTCTTGCAAGGCTTATTCTATTACAGAAAACAGTGGCTGTGTGGTCTGGTCTGATGTTCTGATTGATATTAGACAGTATGTTGAAGGTGGGCATGACCTCTATGTTCGGCTTGCGGCTTCGGAACTAGGTAATTATTCTTGTGCTTTTATTCCCTTTAAATGGCTGAGCTGCAGTCATTTTTTTGCCAGGTCAAGGCCTTGTCAGGGTTAGCCGTGGAATGAATGATGTCCTTGAGCGGTTGTCTAAGCATCCCATCTCAAGATGGAATTAATCTGTTTCGGCCAGGCCTAGCTCAGTACTATATACAGAGTATATTTCATGCTGCATGGGACTGATTTTTATGACTAACTGATATATTGAACTCCTATCCCGTTTATGAAACAAAATTCTTTACACTTTCTGTACCTGGTGATGTGGCCATGCATGTCTGGACATTTCCATGGTCAGGCATGGATGGAATTATTTCCTTAATGGGTTGGTTAAATATCACTGTGCTAACCTGTCACGGTGTGAGATTATTCTGTTCTTTTCAGGCCTAGTTTGGTATATGCAGGACAGGATTGAAGCTAGGACTGAATCACAAATGATAATTAAACTCATTTATTGCTTCTGAAACAAAATGATCTTACACTTTTTAATTTGGTGATGTTGACTGTAGATTCCAATAACAAGAAGCAAGTGGTGATCGTAATTAGCCTTTCAGCAATTTCCACTGTGCTTGTCATTGGTTCCATTGGTTGGTGTGTCATATGGAACAGAAAGAGAGCACTCAGAAGAGGTCAGTATCATATGACTCGTTACTTCAACCCAGACAATTTCTTTTTCCTTCTTGAAGAAGGCAAAGTGCATTAGTTTGCTTCTATTGTATATTGCTACAACTTGAAACACTGAGCATGGTTAACATTTCTTAGGCCATGATAATTGAATGTTGACTGTAGCTGAATGCTAATGTACTTGAAAGTGACTTAGAGATGTTTGGTTACACTGATTTACCCCTCTAATTCATCTATCCAATTATATTTTCCTAATTAACAGATAGAGACTTGCACATTCAAGAGAATCCAGAGGAAGACCTAGAGTTACCATTGTTTGATTTGGATACAATTAGAGATGCCACTAAGAATTTCTCTTTCACAAAAATTATTGGGAAGGGTGGTTTTGGTCCTGTTTACAAGGTAAAGTCCCCATGATTGTATTTAACCATTTTTTTCCAGCTCCTAAGAGTTTAAGAACTTTTTCATTTTCTCTTCTTCTTCCTAAACTATTAGATCGAACTCCCACCAAACAGTCATACACTGTTAGGGGGGAAATTATTTTGACTTTCTCTACATGATCATTTGCAGGGTGAGCTACCAACAGGACAAGAGATAGCAGTGAAGAGGCTTTCACAGGATTCTGGACAAGGACTAAATGAGTTTAAGAATGAAGTCACTTTAATTGCCAACCTTCAGCACCGAAATCTCGTTAGGCTTTTAGGTTGTTGCATTGAAGGGCAAGAAAGGATGCTAATCTATGAGTACATGCCGAACAAAAGTTTAAACACTTTTATTTTTGGTCTGGCCCTCCCATCCTTTCCTATATCATACTCTATCTTGATGAAATAATGGCCCCAATTTAACTTGACTCATAATTGACCCAGGTCAAACAAAAAGTACATCACTTGATTGGGCAAAGCGCTTTGACATTATTGTAGGCATCGCCCGAGGACTTCTTTATCTTCATAGAGATTCACGATTGAGAATCATCCACAGGGATCTTAAAGCCAGCAACATATTATTGGACATTGAAATGAATCCAAAAATATCAGATTTTGGCTTAGCAAGAATATTTGGAGGAGATCAAATTCAAGAAAATACAAAGAGAGTGATGGGAACCTAGTAAGTTCTGCAAGACTGAGTTTGCTCATTTGGTATCATTGTCCAAAATTCATTGCTTTAACTTTTTCCCTATGATCTGTAGTGGTTATATGCCTCCAGAGTATGCAATAGATGGGCTCTTTTCAGTGAAATCAGATGTGTTTAGCTTTGGTGTTATTGTGTTAGAGATAATAAGTGGCAAGAAGAACAGAGGATTTTATCATCCAGACCATGACCTGAACTTGTTGGGACATGTGAGTGTAGATTGTTGATTTTATTTCTAATCAGTTTCCACTTTTCGTCCAATTACCAATGATGTCTATGATGTTAAATGGTTTGCAATCTTTTTAGACGTGGATTCTGTGGAATGAAGACAGGGCGTTGGAGCTAGTGGACCCTTTGATGGAGAGACCATTTTCATTACCTGAAATGTTAAGATGTATTCAAGTGGGTCTCTTGTGCGTGCAGCAACGACCAGAGGATAGGCCGACCATGTCCTCTGTAGTATTAATGTTGGATAGTGAAACTACAATTTTGGCCCAACCTAGACAGCCAGGATTTTATACAGAAAGATTTCCAACTGAAAATGATTTATCTTCAACTGGGAAGAAAAATTTTACTTCGAATGAAGTGACTATAACATTGATCGATGGTCGATAAAATAGTTTCTATGTAGGTAACCTTTCCTCTATCAAATGCATAAAGTTATTACAAGTTGCTGTTTCACACTGTTTATGCATTAAATAGAGAATGGGGTTCGGTATAGTGGTGGATCAATATGAAGAATTTCAGCAAGACATATGTGATATTTACAATCAGTGTGATGCCAATGGTGTTTGTGACGTCAACCATTCCCCACGGAACCACAAAAATGGGCTGTTCTTGATTGGTCTAATGGGTGGTGCATACAGAGATCTCCATTAGATTGCAAATTTGCATGAATGGATCAGACAGGCTTGGAAGTGCCGGATTTAGTCTAGTTTTGGGTGAACAAATTTACAAAAGTATGATCCTTGAAGAACGCAAGGCAAGTTGCTCCAAAGACTATCGTTGCATGGCTTACACTAATCCAACGATTGGAGGCGGTAGCCATTAAATAAATAAATAAATAAAGGGCAAAAATGTTTGGGCCTTGGGACATGGGGTGCATATATACCGTGGTGCAAATCTAGTGGTTCAAGCGATACCTCAAAGATAGGATTGGCTGAACACAATATATGGTTGTTTAGCATGCTCTGTAACCAATTATTACACTCCTGGGCCCACAATCATTTGATCTCTTACTTTAATTTATGGCTAGTGCCATATTACAAAGAAAAAACAAAGGTAAAATATAAAAACCTCACTTTAACAAAAATCTATCCTATAGTAAAAGAAAAAAAAAAAAAACTACAATTAACTCACTAATGTCTTTGATTCATTACATAATTTAAAATATTAGATTTGCCCTCCAAACTTCATTCTACTTGATGAGTTTACAAAGTAAAATTATTGGTCTTTTCGATTTGACCTATGGAACCTTTTTAGTTAAAAGTTTTTTTTGGGTATTTAAATAAATCTTCATATTAATTAATAGGTATAAGGGAAAAATGGGTATTTTCAAAAAACTATGCATTAAGCCAGCGTTTTCCATATGTGATAATGATAAAAGAGAGGTAAGTATTTGGGTTATGGTTGAGTTGGCTCTTGACGTCATGTGGATGCCCTAATCCCTTGGTTACATTAACGCCGCATCTCCATAGCCCAGCTTGATTCTGTGGTTACGTCAGCATCATGTCACATTTGTGGTTCCACCTTATCCCTTCAGCCACGTTGGCACCACGGCACGAGGATAAGCATGACTAAGACAAGAGAGCAGATGGGAACAACTCCGATGGGGATTACGTCTTATCCCAAAGACCTCGACGGCTAACCTCATCCAAACAACCCCGGAAGCCTCATCCAATCAGGACACGGACCTTCGGCTATAAAAAGTATCTCTCGCTCAAGGTAAAGGAGGGAACTCTTAACTCCCAGACCATTACTCTGCTCGAACCAGCACTGCTCTCTAGCTGCTTAGCCCGACCACCTACCTTCTTCAATTGACTTGAGCGTCGAAGTATCTACCCAGGGATAATTCCTCAGTCCTCTGACTTCTTTCTTTGTTTCAATCTCATTGTGTGGCTTCATCCTTCCACCTTGGCTCCGCCCAACTATCAAGGATTCTCTGACTACAACCTCAGTTCTTGCACCACCTAGGATCGAGCAACATCAGATTGGCACCGTCTGCGGGAAACGCACAAAAAGATCGACGGGCCGATCCCCCTCTCAAGGATCCCGTTCTCATCGTAGCCCTCCACCCCATAAAACCCAGCAACCTCAGCAAGCCGCGGTCGACCCCGTCCAGTTCTAAGCAATCGCTGAGGTCTATGGTACCGCCCGCTCAGACCGTCCCCCCGCCTGCTCTGACGCGTACTAAGGCTAATCCTTGCCATGAGGACTCCAAAATGCACCAGTCAAACAAGGATGTGGCGCGGCCTGAGCAAGAAAAACAAGATGCTTCAAGAAGATCGAGCTCATCCGCCTAGTCCCACGAGTGTGACTGATGTGTGTGCAAATTACACATAAAGTTCTAGTGTTTATGCATGGTTTTTGTGTTGATTTATGTAAAGTTTTACTCTAATTCAGCTTAATTTCAGGAATTTATCCAAGGAGACCAGCTTAAAGAAAAGAAAGCACAAAACCAAGAAAAATGAGCCAAATTGGAGGTAATTCAGTCCAGCTGGAACAAAAGCCCAGCTGAGATATCAAAGGAGAGCCATTCGGCCCATGAAGCCCATGCTGCACTCTTTGGGAGAACCCAAAGAAAGAGCTCAGCCGCAGCCCTCCAAGGGAGCCTATTCAACCCAGCAAGGAGGAGGCCCATTTGTAGCTCAAGAGCAGCCCAAAGAAGATTCAAGAGAGGCTAAGGGCGGCAACTTCTAGAAGATTCAAGATAGACTAAGGGCGGCAACTTCTAGAAGAGAGAGGGAGCTGAAGGAAAAACTATATAAAGATAAATCTTGGAGAGAAAAGGGGGTTCAATAGCTTGTGATTCAAAAACCTTGGGGTTCGAAGACCTGAATTCAAACTCTCCTTGGCTGGTTCAAACACTTGGGGGAGAAAACTCCTTTGTTCAAATTCTTGGAGGGAGAAGAGAGAGGTAGGCGCAAGAGAGGAGAAAGGAGATTCAAGCAACTTCAAGAGGAGAAGAAGCTGAATTCGAATTTGGGAGAACAATCCATTGGAGGAGATCGATCTAGGTTGTCTTCTTCCTTGAATTCTGCGCCATTGGTAATTGAAATCAGCTAGGGTTTCATGTTCAATTCTCCATTAATTTTTCTTTCTTGTTGTAATTGAAGCATGATTTCTGTAATTTCAGATCTGTAATGAGCTTTCTAGGTTCATTTGAATAGATTAGATGCAATCTTGAGGTTTCTTGATTAGGAGTTTGATTGTAGAACTGCTAGCCGAACTGTTGTTTTGCAATTTCAGATCTTGATTTTGTGATGTCTGAATTGCTTGAGAATGAATTTAGGCAATCTTAATTCTGTTTGGTCGAACTGTTCTTAATTCTTAGAAGTTCTAGAGTGCTTGAGAAAGATTTTAGAAATTCGAATCTACTAATCAAGAACCGAATTGAGTGCAAGGTTAGAGATAACTTGCACAATTCGGTTGGTGTTCTTTCAATCTGAAATGATGCCCTAGAATGTCTAGATCTTAATGCATGCATGGGGATTAGATTATTGATAGAGATATAAGAATCATCACTCATGCATAGAGTGAACATGTGCTTGAGAGAGGCTGTTCATTGCCTTGGGGTTTCATCAAACCAAGGCTGAAGCCTAATCTACTCGAGTGACCTAGAGAACTAATTGCTGAATCAATTTTGTGCATATTTAGCTTGTCTTCTCAACTTGCATACAAGGTGTTTGATGCAATTTCTTAAAGATAGTTTGTTAGATAGGAGTTCAGTTTTAGGTTAGATATACAATTCAATTTATCAGATAATAGAAGGTTGATATATTACTAGTATTTTATGCATAAGTCCTCATGGGAAACGATACTCTATTCATCACTCTATTACTTGTGCGGCTAGTGCACTTGCTAGTGTAGCAAATATGCATCAGTGACAACCGCAGCAAAACCCACCAGTCTACTCGGATTCTAGCCAAAGAGAGGCTCAGAAAATGGATGCCGCACCTGCCGATCTCCATTGTTGAGTCCAGTTCGGTCAAGGATCACTCAGCACGGCCCAAGAAGGAGAGAGCCACACAAGCTACAACTCCAGACAAAAGAGATGCAGAGATCCGAGAACTCTAACAACCCCTGACCGATTTGGAGCGTAGTCAAGCCGAGAGAAGTGTGGCATCTCCCTTAGTCTAGCCCGTGCAGCCAAGCTGCTAGCCTGCCAAGGAACCGCCCTTCATCTAAGAGGTCATGGCAACCTTTAAAGGTTCGGCCCTGACATGGTACTCATCCCTTCCCCCACGCTCCATAGCATCATGGAAGCAGCTGGAGAGCCAGTTTTTGGCGCAATTCACAGTAGGTCAAAAACATTGGAAGACTTCGAAAAGCCTCATGCAAGTGCGACAAAGGATAGGGGAGTCCCTCAAAGACTACCTAGCAAGGTTCAACACCGAGGCGTTACAAGTCCAGCACTTGAACTAGTCGGTAGCCATCACAACCATCTAGCAGGGTCTACGACCTTCTCCATTCAATTTCTCCATCTCGAAGAACCCTCCTCAGACCATAGCCACACTGATGAGCCACACCTAGAAGTACATCAATTCGGAGGAAGCACAGGCACAACTAAAAGACGAGGAAGAGCGGCCTAACAAAAAGAGAAGGGATACTGAGGATCACAAGACAGAGAGGCGGACCAGGACCACAAGAGGCAGGATTGCCGGTCCGATCGCAGACCAAGGACACCTCCACCGACCTACAACAACTTCATGCCACTGAATATGCCGTGGTCTAAAGTTTTGATGCAGATCCGCGATCGTAACTATGTTCCATGGCCCGAGAAGATGAAGACCCAAGGCAACAAGAGGAACCGCAACAAGTATTGCAAGTTCCATAAAGACTACGTCCACAACACGAACAACAGCTACGATTTACGTAACCACATCGAGGAGCTGATCAAGTGTAGGTACCTCGGTGGATTCATCGACAAAGATAAGAAGCCAGTACAGGAATAACCGCACCTAGGAAATAGACCACCACCTCGGGCTCCCATAACCGGTGTCATCGCCGTGATATCAGGAGGGATCACCGCCAGAGGAGAAAGAAGCTCAAACCGCAAAAAGTATGCGAGGCTACTCAAGATCGATGACAGAGGACAGAAGAAAAGATGCAAGACTCGATCACCTTCATAGAGGACGACCTATAGGGGGTCCAGACCCCACATGACGATGCCCTGGTGATCACATCCGAGGTGGCCAACTTCGAAGTACAGCGCATCCTAGTCGACACAGGCAACTCAGCAGATGTCTTCTTCGAAGACGCACTCGATAAGCTCGGCATCAATAGAAACTGCCTCATCCCTGTCAACACTCCCCTGATGGGCTTCTCCGAGGAACCGCTTATGCCAACCTGGAGGATCAATCTCCCCCTTCTGATCGAAGATGGTGACATCACCA